AACACATGAAAATCTAACCTTAGACAGCTAGCTGATAGGTGGATTATATTCAAGCTAGATCATATCACTGTTTCTCTCTTTCCTTTAGCAACAATAATAGTAAAAGGTTCAATTTGAAATAATTTCCAGTGAATATCATTTTATTTATATGCAAGTCTCACAAGAGTGAGACTAACTTTTATGTTCTTATCTTTCTCTATCCTATAGAATCAAGAGTTCTTTTTAATCCTAATTAAATTTTCTTTTCGTGTATTCTATTGAGTATGGTGAATAAGTCATATTATTAATTCATACTTCATAAATGGTGTAACTTGTTATAAGTTTCTTATTTTATAGTGACAATAATGATAGTTTTTTTTTTTGGGGTCTTTGGACCATTATTTGTTGCCTTTTGGGACACAAAATGTGTTACATTCGCTAGCTAGTTTAGTTTTTCTTTCAACACCTAATTTATGAAGGAGACAGATAAAAAGACATAACATGATCTAATCGACGGATAAATCCAAGCAGGCCAGGATCATTCAATCACTGTATATCTCTTTCCTCATTTGATTATGCAAAAAGGGTGAAATATTTAACTTTAAATTGACATCTCATAATGAATCTTATCATTACATGCAAGTCTCCCACAGACACACACATCTTTCTAAAAATTATTGCAGAAACGGGACCAATTTCTCTCTTCTTATCTTTCTCTATCTTATGGAATTAACAGAATTTTCTCAACTCTAATTAGGTAGATTTCTCTTATATCCAATGAATAAAAGGATAAACCATGCTTTTTATATTAATATTAAACAACATTAATAATTTTAAACCATTATTTATTTTGTTTTGAGACCTTGCTCAAATTGGAAAAAAAAAACTGAATTATTCTTTTAGCACCTAGTTCAACAAGTAGAGATATAGTGGAGAAGTGATGTGACATAGATAACAAGTGCATTCAGTAGGATCATTCAATCACTAGTTATCTCTCTTTTCTTAGTTGATCACGTTACAATTACATATGAAATATTATTTAACTCTAAATTGTGGCATTAGAAGAGCTCATTATTATAATCATACTGAGACAGAAAGGCTTTTCATGTAATTTAATGAGTATGATTAAAATGTCGTATTACTTATATATGGTTCATATGAATCATGCTACTTGTTATATTAATAACAAAGTATTTTTATCGTTTGGATCACTATTTATTATATTTCATGACCCAAAAATTTGAATTAGATGGATAAACAATTCTTCTAACCCTTACTTTATTAAAGATATATAGGAATGGAAGACATAATGTGATCTTTCCGCTCTTGACATCTGAATGAAGAAGTTTGTCCACTTTCCACTTTACCTTTCTCTATCTTGTAGGATTATAAGAGCCCATTTTAACCTTAGTTACGTAGGCTTCTCTCTTCTTGTATTTTAATGAATATAATGAATAAATCATATTAGACATGGCTTATGAATCGTAAGACTCATAATAGATTTCATATTTTATATTGATATTAATGGCAAAGATATTTATTTATTATATTATTCGACCTAACTCGCATTGAGAAAATTGAATTGGCTAGATGGATAAGTTATTCTTTCAATCCCTGGTTTACTAAATTGAGATATGGACGATATAGTTTGCCTAGCTTATAGGTGGATCCAAATAGAACTATCCAATTTTGGCCAAAAAAAAAACAAATAGAACTATCCAATCAACGTTTATCTCTTTTGTTAGTTCATTACGCAATAACTGTGAAACACTCAATTCTAGTTTGACACTTAATGAGTCTCGCTTTTCTACCTGTGAGTTTGCAGAAATGAGTTCCTTTTCTCCTTATCTTTCTCTTCCTCATGGGAGCGTTTTAACCCAAGTTAGAGGCTAGTTTAGTTGTTGTTTAAGCCCAAAGTTTACTAAGGAGAGAGATGAAAGAAGTAGCAAAACCTGTTTGACAAATTCATCCAAATTATACCATCCATTCAATATTTATCTTTATTTTCAAGATAATAGTATTTGATTTCCCTTATGAATATTAAAAATGACTAAGCTATGCAACTTTATTCTATACTCATGAGCGTATTTATAATGAGAAAAATAGAAAATTGAATTGGATGGTTCATTGTTTTTCAGCCCTTGGATTTATTAAGGAAGGAGCTAGATTGAAAAAGGAAAGAAGCTTGTCTGACACAGTGATGAGCAAACTCATCTCTAATTACTTCTTATCTCGCTTTTCAATTATCAATTGACGTATATACAACAATTGTAAAGGATGCAACTCTAGATTGAGATCAATTGATATTATACCATGTAAAAGTTTTCTTCTAACCCCTAGATTGAAGAGAAATATAAAAAAAATGTGAAATCTGTTTGGCAAATTGATCCAAATTATACCATCCAATCACTGCTTATCATTATTTTCAATTGACCATGTAAAAATAGTATTTCATTTATTTATGGATATTGATTGTGACTAAGTCATGTGACTTTATTGCATATTCATGAAGTTGTTTGAATTGGCTGGTTCAATGATTTTCAGCCTATGGCTTTATTAAGTTGTTTGAATTGAGAAAATTGAATTGGCTGGTTCAATAATTTTCAGCCTATGGCTTTATTAAGGGAAGATATAAAAAAAAAAAGAAAAGAAAAGAGAAACTTATCTAACAAATTGATAGGTTAGATCATCACTGTTTATCATACTTTTCAATTTTTAATTGACTACACAATAGTTGTAAAGGATGCAACCCTAGATTAAAATCCATTTACATTATACCATGTGAAGGTTTTCTCTAAGTCTCGAGTTTATTAAGGATAAAAATAAAAGAAATTATGAAATTTATTTGACAAATTTTTCCAAATTCTATCATCCCTCATTTCTTATCTTTATTTTCAATTGATCATTCAAGAATAGTATTTCATTCACTTATGGTTATTAATTGCGACTAAGTTATGTGACTTTATTACATATTCATGAACTTGTCCAAACTGAGAAAAGTGAGTTGGCTAGTTCAATGTTTTTTTAAGCCTTGGGATTCCTTAAGGGAAGAAATAGAAAAAGGAAAGAAATTTTTCTAACGCATTGATGAGTAGAATCATCCAATCCAATCACTGTTTATCTCACTTTTCAATTTTCAATTAATCATGCGACAGCTGTAAAGAAGGCAGTCCTAAATTAAGATCCATTGATATTATACCAAGTAAAGGTTTTCTTTTAGCCCCCAGTTTAGTGAGGAGAAGGATAAAAGAAATTATGAAATTTATTTAACAAATTAATCTAAATTATACCATCTAGTCATTGCTTATTTTTATTTTCAATTGACCATACAAGAATAGTATTTCATTCACTTGTGGATTTTTTTTTGAAATCACCTGTGGATATTAATTGTGCCTAAGTTATGTGACTTTATTATATATTTATGAACTTGTTTGAATTGAGAAAACTGAATTGGAAGGTTCAATGTTTTTCAGCCCCTAGTTTTGTTAAGGAAAAAGACAGAAAAATAAAAGAGACTCATCTGACACACTGATGAGTAGGATCATCCAATCACTGTTTATCTCACTTTTCAATTTTTATTGACCTTCTACCAGCTGGAAATGATTTGGCCTTAGATTAAGATCCAATGATATTATATCTGGCTAAAATATGTTGCACCTTAATTATCAATACCAAGTGGAATTTACCATCATACCCAGTGAAGATCTGACAATCATAAATGGCCTGATCAAGAGAGAGAGAGAGAATAAGAAACTTTCATAAGGTCGAACCAAAAAGTGGATTGTTAGCCAAGGTATGCAACCCATATAGATGGGGTTAAATTGTGAGAGTTACAAAGCATCTCAAACATAAGCCATGGCCACACGCAAAATCTCTTCATAAATAAGGCCACAAAAAAAGATGAACTAAGCAGTGCTTGCTTGACCACCATTCTCATTCTCTCTCTCTTTACTCCCTTTCGCGCGCCCTAAGAAACAAATGATTTAGAAGCTGCCCCAAAATACGTGCAGCATTTCAATGGTGGTCTACACCCACCTTATTACATTTCACCCTTCTCTTTCTTTCTTCATCTCTATCCAAGTTTGAGCCTTTTGTCCTCCTTGGGTTTCTCTCTCTCAGTCTCCACCCATCTTCTCATGACATCCATAATCCAGTTTTCTTAGATCTATTTAGATATTTAGACCTCTTTCTTTCTGTCACTACCCCAGTTGTGACTTTCTCTACTTCCATTAGTTCCTAAGAGATGAATCAAGAGGAGATTGCAAAGATTCGGGTACTATATTTTCTGTCTTGATTTGTTTATTTTCACTCGTAGCCTCTCTTCATTCTTATCATTTTTCTATTAGCCATCTTGTTAATAAATTTCTCTCATTACTCTGTGTTGGACTCTGGGATTGCTTGTGCATGCAGAAATATGTTCTTAAAGTTAACATACATTGTGGTGGATGTAAGCATAAAGTGAAGAAAGTCTTGAGGAAAATTGATGGTGCATCAGATAATCTCTCTTCATTATTTATACTTGCTCCCAGAAAAGAGTTTGTTTTCAGTTACTCATATCTTGAAAATTCATGATCTGATTTGCTAGTTTATTGTTCAAATTCTTCAGGAGTATATATTACAGAGATAGATTCAGAACAAGGCAAGGTCACTGTCACTGGGAATGTTGACCTGGACATACTCATCAAGAAGCTCTTGAAATCTGGGAAACATGCAGAGCCGTGGGGTGCCCCAAAAGTAGATGGCAATAACAATAACAAGAACAGCAACAATAATCAGAACCAGCTTGCCAACCAGATGAAGAACGTGCAAATCAACAATAATGGAGGAAAAGGCAGCGGCGAAAATAGCAAAGGTCAGCAGAAAGGGGGTGGAAACAACCAGCCTAAGGATGGCCAGCAACCACCAAATCTTCAGCAGCAACTTCAACAAATGAAAGGGTTTCAAGATCAAAAGCTGCCTCTTCAATTCAATGACATGAAATTGCCAGGCCAGCTGAACCCGAACCCGAAAGCTGTCAAGTTCAATTTGCCTGAGGATGATGATTGCTTAGATGACGAGTTCGACGATGACGAGTCTGATGATGATGAATTTGATGATGAAATTGGTGACCCTCAGGTTCCTCTAAACATGATGAAAGGGCTACCACCTATGGGAAATGGTGCTCACATGATGATGAACAGTATGATGAATGGGAATCAGCAGCAACAACTCTTGAATGCTCTTAAAAATGCAAATGTCGAAGCCAATGGGAAGAAAGGTAACTGTGGCGGAGGAGGACCAATGCCGATCCAAACGCCAAGCATAGGCAGTGGGAACAGTGGTAAGAAAGGCGGCGGTGGAGGAGGAGGTGGGGGGAACAATCAGAATCAAGGCGGAGGCAACAAGAGTAACAGTGGCAAAAATGGCATTGGAATACCACAGGGCATAAATGGCAACAACGGTAATAAGAATAGCGGTGGTGCAAATGGCGCAAACCTTGAAAATAACAATGGAGATGAGGGCCAAAAGGGAAATCTGATGCCTGGAGGGGTTCAAGCTGTGAAGGCGATGGGTGGTCATCATCCGAACATGAGCGGAGGCAACACAGGTCCCATAGGTAACATGAACACACCAATGGGTAACATTCCGACAGTCCAAGGCCTCCTGGCTAGGGGCATGAACAGCGGAGGAGGAGGCAGCGGTGGCGACACCGCAGGATACTCCCAAGGGTTAGGTCCAGAATCCATGGCAGGGAACCCATTCCAACACCAACAGTACATGGCAGCAATGATGAACCACCAGAGGGCAATGGGAATGGCAGGTGGGAATGATAAGAGATTCCAGCCAATGATGTATGCTCGACCACCGCCAGCCGTCAACTACATGTACCCTCAACAGTACCCATACCCATATCCTCCGCCACCACAAGATCCCTACACCCACTTCTTCAACGATGAGAACACCTCAAGCTGCAACATCATGTGACGGTGAAGGTCTGATGGCTGACTGATTGTCAATGGTGCTGGCGGTAGCTTATGTTACATACAAAGAAAAAGTCTCTGGCAGAGTTTAGCCTTGATTATTTTCCTAAGTTTTTAATTTTTTTCCCCTTTTAATCCAAGCTAGGATTTATAAGTAATATTATAATCATAGAAGAAGTAATTTTACAGGTTAAGAATGTGGGGAGAAAGAGTTTAAGAGGGGAGATGATATGAGATCGAACAACCGTGATAAAAAGTGTAATAGACATGGGGCATATGCAATTATAATGTTCGAAACATGAATAAAATATTTTTCATAAGAGGCTTCCTCTTCCTCCCTCTCTCTTGCTAGCTCTTTTTTCCTTCTTTTTTTGAATTAGACGGATAATACTAACAATACGAGGTTACAAACATGATTAACTCTTTCGTACTTGTTGCTCTCCACTAACAGCTCAAACATAATGTCCCAACTAGTCTTACTCGCTCACTACCATATAACAGAATAATAATAATAATAATAATAATAATGAATGATTAGTCAGTGGCACACACAACAATGAGAGGAATATTCAAAGATTAAACTCCCTCGCTGGTCTTCAATACTCAACAGTTTTTGTGCTGTCTTCTTAGTGTTTTGTGGGCTTCTCTCCACACCCATTAATCTACCAATCAACATGACTTAATACAAGGGTATTATATTTAGGACCAGAGGAGTAATTAATTTAAAGAGCTGTATATATATATATATATATATATATGTATATGAAGAGACGAAACACAAATTTGCAGGCAAGCTTGGTTTACTAGTTGACAGTAATGTCTTCTTTCATTACATGTGACTTCTGTTTTGAATCATATACTTTTGCCTATGTTTGCATTATCACTATTTTTAGTAAATATTTTTTGTTTTTGAAACTAAAAATAGAATGAAATTACAATAAACTTTTATGTATAAGAAAGCTTTCATGTCACTAACATTGATGTGGAATTAAACACATAAGGAAAATAAATAGAGAATGAGAAATCACTTGAATGATCTTGTATTAAACTTTTTTGGAAGAAAAATAAATAAAAAGGGATTTTTTTTTAAAAAAAAAGAGGAAAATGGGTGCTAATGGTTTGAGATTACAACGGGATTAAATCAAACTTTCAACTTACGGACGCAGATTAGGACGGGAGAAGGAGACAAGGAGATCTAACGGTCTTGACACTCTGGGAGGAGGAATTTCGGTGAGGTTGGAGAATCATGTGATCAGAACAGCGTGTTGTGGGGCCCACTCCCGGATACTTTCACACGATGACTATGATGTAAGTGGGGTCCTCCCAGTGTTCAAATACATCCATCTAATCACGCAGTCCTTATTTGATGAGTGCGGGCCCCACGACGCAGTCGCTACCAAAAGGCCAAAAGTGCTCCGCTCTTTTCTTCAACTGAGCACCAGAGCACCAGAGCACCAGATTCCAGCCTCCTCACTGGGATTTGCTAAGCTGGGAAGACACCCTCGTTTAGTTTGTGGTGGAACCTGGATTGGCTTTCTGTTGAGTGTTGATGGTGCAGGTGAACTGAAGGCTCTTTACGCTTTCTTTTGTTGGGCTCATTCATATAACATAATATTATAGTTCTAAAATTTTAATGTGACCCCATTGAAACTCGCTAATTTTCATCTGGGCCCCTGTTTCCAAACCCTCTCCAATCTTATCATCAATTCCAATTTTTTTCAATGAATGGGAATGAGTTATGGTGAAATTTATTCAAAAATTTTTGCTCAGAAACACTAGGTACCTGAAAGTGTTTTGGAAGTAAATTTGTTCAAAAATTTTAAAATCATAACAATATTGCTCATTATCATTAAAAATGTTAATAATTAACATTACTATTTTAAGGATCAACATTAGATTTTTTAACAGTATGAGATAATATAATGTTGCTATGATTTTAAATTTTTGGTACAAATTTACACTTAAAAAAACTTTTGCAATTGTAACATTTTTGAGTGAAAACTTTCAAGGTAAATTTGCACAGTTAGTAATGCCAAACCAAGTATTAATTAAATTTTTGTTAAGAGATATATTCATATTTAATATCACTTAGTATCTCAAATAAGATTATTTCTAGTATAAGAACACCTGTGATTAAATATCCAAATTAAACTTTGACTTGAAAAACCACGAACTTGACCAGAATTTTGACTTTTAACCAAAGAGGAAACTACTTAGTTCAAATTCATTATATTCATTATATTAAGTTTTCCAATCACGTATGATGGTTAGGTGGAATTTTTTCTCATACAAGCTTATAATTAAATGATAATATTTCAAAAATAGAAATATGGCTATGTTTAATTAAAGAACTTAACATAATAAATATAAAGAATTTGAAGAAAGGATTGTCCATAACAAAATACTTGTTTAGTAAATAGTGAAGTAAATAAGAGGCAAGTTTGACCTATTTTCACTCTTAAACAAAATATGAGCACTCTAAATTATTTAACTTAAATTTTTATTATCTAAAATTTATAATTTTTAAATAAATAGTTTAGTTTTTAATAAATTAACAATCTAAAGTTTATTTTCAATTTAGATTTTACATCTATTTAGTATAAAAAATTATTAAAATATAAAAATTTCATAACACCTAATATTAATCGGAACAAATTAGAACTAATGAAACTAAACCCGTGTAAGATCTTATCGGATATCTCACAAACTACTCATCTAGGTTTAAATATAAGACCCTTATATACATTATATAAAGGTCTTATATTTAGAACCGGAAGAGTATTAAAAGTCCAAGGAAGCTCACTTTATTGACCCTTTGCAAGATATTAACCAATCACAGTGGATCGAGTTGGATGTGGCATGAACTCAAGATTCATCAGACCAATCTAAGAACCAGTAATAAATCAAATCAGAAGTAGCACATCCAATCCAAATATATTTGAAAACGACCACTACTTCAAAAAGTTCACTGAGATGAGGGCCCAAGTTCCGAAGGAGTAATATTGTAATCTCACACACACATACATGTATATAATAGATTTTCCAACGAGATGGGGCCCAGCCGAAAGCAGTAATAATTCGTAGGAAGAGGATGGAATGTTATAAGTGATAACTAATTGGGGGCTTAGTTTCCTAACGCGCGAATCAAGGTTTGATTCTTTGAGAAATATTCACATTGAGTACTTAATACTTTTCTAATTCTTAATATAAGACCCATTTAACTAATTTAATTAGATTAAAGAAGTTAAGTAAGTTAGTTAATTATAAGAAAAATGACACATTTTTCCTAAAATACCATAATCATCTTTTTTAATACCCTCTCTCCCTCTTCTACTTGATTATAGTTGATGGAGTATCCATAAGGGTAATTTAGAAAAAAATGATAAATATGAGAAATGGGTCTTATATTTAGAACCAAAACCAACTCAAGAATTGGGTCCTATATTAAGGACCGGAGGAGTATCTTAATTTCCTCTCAAACGATATGCATGCCAATATGATCACTGGAAAAATTTATTTTAAAAAGAACAAGCAAAATGATACACAAGTTAATGAGTCTCCTTGCATGAGTAACCCAGATAAACAATAAGAAGCCCAGTGATCATGTGAAAACCAAACAACAACACAGTAGAAACCAAACCAGGAAATTAAAAACTGGGAGCTCGAAACAAAGGAGATGCGCATCTCGAACCATAATGTTGTTGAGATGAAGATCAGACCAACACAACCATGAACTAAGGTGACCACATGCGTACGTAGCTGACACTAATTAAGGTTAAACATACACTAACTAACTAGCTACCTTGAACGTGCGTACGACTATAAGGCCTGACCATGCAGATCATAAGTAAAGAGCCTTCATTCTCACTTATCTATTTAATTTGCTGCATGATGAATCCAGTAATTAATAATTCTGCTTCTTTTAGTTTTTATTTCTGTTTTCAAAGAAAGCTATATATAGGTGTTATCAAAAGTGATGAGATGGTCTCTCGCACACCATTGCTGAGATTTTCCGAACCTGATTGACCCAAACGTATCTTATTGTACTTTTATTTCTCTTGGTTTAGCCTTGGGCCTTGTTTCGGTGTTTTATTCCTGGTCATTCATTACTCCTTTCGGCTAAAAAAATTAGTGATTGCTTTAAAATAAAGAGGGGATGAGACAAAAATACCCCCCGAAATTTGCAAATTTTCAGTTTACTGTGAAGCCTCTATGTCACTTTTGCAGTGAAATTACCTAAATTCTGTAGTGTGAGCGCTTCTCTTTAATTTCGATGGTGATATAACTGTTCGAGCAGTTACCAGAAAGAACCACCAAAATGACAACACTATGATGTTAATTAGTTGATGCTGCTAGCAGAGAAGTCATATAAATCCATTTTATGGATTACCCAAGCTCGAAATCAGTTTGGGGGCTTCAAGGTTGATACATAAGTTATATATAAAGTAAGAACGCTGAAGAAATAGAGATATGGTAAAATTATATGTTGTTAAGTCTCTTCCCAAATCCAAGTGCTAATATATATATATATATATATATATATATCACACTGATGAGCTACTTCACAGCTTCTGATCGCAGAAAGTTTGCTGTACTCCCATTGCTAGTTCCTCCAGACTTAACTGGCACTCCAACCCTATCTGCATATATGAGAATCATACTTCATCAGTACTGCATGTAAATAATACGTCATTATTGTTATGAAATACTGGTGACTTTGAAGTCTATATCCAAACCGATAGACAAACATATATATACCCAGGAAACATCATTAAAAAATCTAACCTAGTCCGAGTTTAAACGCGTTAAAAGTGAAGGAGTTCCAAGGGAGAAAAGTTCCATATATAAAATAGTGACGGTCATGAACATGTAGATAAATAAACGCAATGCGGCTCTTCACAATTATACCAGATTTGGTTTCATATGATTAGCTTATTGAGTAGTAAGCAGTTGTGTATCATTATTACTTTATTGAAAAGCATAAATTTAGTTTGAAATCAAAGAAGAGAAAGCGGGCGATTCTCTCATGACCTACTTCTTTTAATTTGAGTTGCTTAAAATGGTTTATCAAATTTACAGTGAATTGAATCTGATGAATTGATATTGCAGTATTATGTATCTGAACAGAAATCATCCAAGAACTGGATGGAGCTATTACGTTTGTTTTTGGTTTACGCACGCACCTTGACAACGAAGTGGTATAGAACTGTATCATCCATGCTACTGATATTGAGATGAAGGACTTCAAAAGATAGCCTTTCAAGAACGCTGATTATCTTTGAAACTTGACCTGGAATTCTGTGGCAAATCACTCTAAGATTCACGTTTGAACCTGAGATTTTCACTTGCACATCTGCAACTGAAGAATTACAGCTTGCTGCTCCAACTTCTTCCTTCAAGGGGCTATGGTCCGCTTGATTAAAGGTTGCTGGTGGTGGCAGTGGTGTTCTTGGGCTAGGGCTTACGCTCTTTCTTCTTTTCTTCGATTCCAGAACTTCCAGAACTTGGTGTAACTCCTTGATGAACTCTATTACTCCCCCTATTATCGATGCTTGGTCTCCCTAATTAAATAGCACCAAACGAGAAAAAATAAAACAAATATAAATATGCTCATGGATCAACAATCCTGTGATAAAAAACCAAGTTACATATGTGAGTTACGTTTCTGTTTTTCTTTATACATGTTTGATTATTAAACAAAAGTTTTAATTAGGTCATCGATCAATAATAAACCTATATGTATGTGGAGAGAGGACTTGCTGATCTTCTTTTGTTATCCAACAAACTCGTTCACAAACAAAGCTCACATATTGATAAGCAGTGACCCATGTTGAGGGCTTAAGTTCAATTGGGTCTTATTATCACATCTGTTCTTTTACGGGACTAACTGATACAAAAATTAGTTCGATGCTCATCATAATCAAGATTTCAATTTAGAAAACAACATATATAACTTATTTTGGTTCGTATTAATCTTGGTGAATGTTGAAAAATTCATCAGAAAATGCTTGATAACTGATAATCGCTGATCATATAGAAACACACGCACAGAGAAGAAGAAGAAGAGGAAGAGAGATCAGAGGGGAGAGAATAATAGTATATGTACCCTTTTGATATAGAAGCAAGGGGTCAAAGACCTTAAAACTTTGAGATGCTCGTTCATCTGTCTTCTCCTGTTCCTCTCGACAGCTATGTGAGACATCTTCTGGTCCTGCCTTTGTTTTCCTCTGAATCTCCTTTTCTTAGGCGCACGAATGAAAGCTGTCTCTCTCTATCCCGTATTTATACACACACACATACGAGAAGAAACAAAGTTAGAGTGCTAACAAAAAGAAAAAGGGAAAGGAAACTAAGCAAGTTGGTCGGTATATTAAATGCTGTAAGTTGCTTTCCCGTGAAGTATTGTTTACCTCAGTTTACACTTTGCATACACATAAGCATTCTGTGCCCTTTGTTATGCACATTACGCATCTCACGCTTATGATATTGGATCAATTACGTGCCTCCTCGTGAGTTAGAAGACGAGTGTGAACAATTGTTCGCTCATGCAATTTTTTAATCTTTTCTTCACTTTCCTTCCTTCTTCCTTCATGCAAGCCTTGCTCATATCTTTATCTCTC